AAAAAAAAAAAAAAAACAACTCTGTGACAATGTGATTAGACCAAAAGGATATGATCTAATGCTAATATATTGGAGAAATCCAGTAAAGCTTGTCTGTTCAGATTCTTCTTGGCCTCTCTGTGCAGCATTCTCTTTTCTAGCTATGGGGGAAGACTCTTCTTAAATAGGGATATCTTTGGTCTACGACTAGACAAGGTAGGCCAGAAAATTTCTCTGTAGCCAATTTCAAGAGAGAGGAAGATTATATTTTTAGCTTTTATGACCTGCCAGGAAAGAGAAATTGTAGTTTCTGTGGCGTGCTTTAAAGGAAAAAAGGAAGCGGTAAAGGGAGGGCAGAATGTCAGAGAAAAATTTTCTTTCTGAAGCCTAAAGGACTTCTGCATTATAACAAAAGACTGAGTGGAGGGGGCTAGTCTGTGGTGGAGTTCTTGCCCAGGATGTACAAGGCCCAGAGTTCAATCCCCAGCACTGGAAAAAAATGAATAAAATAGAAAAGATAAAATGACTATTTTTGCCTTTCTTACTCTGAAGCCAAACTGAAATAATAAAGGTTATGATTGTTAGAAGCCTTCAAGATACAGATGTCATAAAATCAAAGGTAACATCCCCACATTCACTTACAGTCATTGTCCATCCCCTTTCTTATGAACTAGTACATCTGTAATTTGCTGTCTGGGCTTTGCCTTGAATCAGAAGGGTTATTCTTTCTCTGCCTTCTATTTCCTCACAATCATATTCACTCAGGGTTTATTATTTTGGACAAAGAAAGATGCTCCATGGATGTAACATAGTAAATCACTGCACTCAAAAAAGTCTTTGGAAATAAAAGTACAGTATAACCTGCTACCCATTGAAGTTGAGGATCTCTGAGAGTCTCTGTACTTGCATACTATCTATACAGAGTTGCCTGTATCTATCGAAAATATGCAAGAAAGATATATTTCATACGAAGTGCCCTACTTAAACCTATGGTAAATTAAATTAGTTCTATTTTAAATGAAATTATTTTGGAACTGTCAGTGAGTCATTTTTCCATTTATTCTCTTTTCATACTTATACATAATGAGGTTTCTGATGTCCATAGTAGATAGGAAATTGCAGAAACTTTAAAGATGGTTAGCAGGAATTCTTTATACTCAGAAGCAGGTAAAACTTTCAGGAGTATTGCCAAGATGGAAAAAAAGAGGAAAATAATTTATTAGAGGAAATGTAAAGAAAGCCGTCAGGTAGATGGGAATAGGCTTGAAATTGAGAAGGAGAAAAAGGAAAAAATTATCATAGCACAATTAAATGACAGTTATTTATGGGTTAACTAATGTGATGAATTACAAAATGTATAAACCTCAGTCTTGTTTCTCAAGAGTTGAGAATTTTAATTGATAGGAGAAAAAAATTGCATTTGAAAGAGAACAATTAAATAATAGCATTAACATTATACTCCGTAGGTACAGTAGCTTAGAAGCAGGAAATGAGTGAATTGAGCCTGGAATGATTTTTAGGGAATAGTTAAGATTTAGATAAAGAGCAGAAAAAGATGTACATGGTAGCAAAAATACAGAGATCAAGAAACCAAGTAAACAATTATTTAGTATATACAGGACTTTTATTTTTACTAATTATTTGTTATGCTGGTTTCTTCTCTCCCCCCCCTCTCCCCCCTCCCCGTCCGGTCGTGGACCTGAACTCTGGGCCTGGGCGCTGTCCCTCAGCTCTTCAGCTCAAGGCTAGCACTCTACCACTTGAGCCACAGTGCCACTTCTGGCTTTTTCTTTTTTGCTTATGTGGTGCTGAGGAATCGAACCCAGGGCCTCAGGCATGCAAGGCAAGCGCTGTACCACTGAGCCACCTTCCCAGCCCCAAATTATTTTATTTATTTATTTATTTTTGGGTCCAGTCGTGGGGCTTGAACTCTGGGCCTGGGTGCTGTCCCTCAGCTCTTCAGCTCAAGGCTAGCACTCTACCACTTGAGCCATAGCGCCACTACTGGCTTTTTTCTTTTTGCTTATGTGGTGCTGGGGAATCGAACCCAGGGCCTCAGGCATGCAAGGCAAGCGCTCTACCACTGAGCCACCT